AGTTATGGATTGCTCTGCATCCTGGTAGTGGGTAGATATCTATTGTGTCCTGCTTAAGCCAGGTCTCAGTAAGAATAATGAAGAAGAAGGGTGTCTTTAGCGACTCAAGGAGTGTCAGGAGGTCATCATACTGTTTGCTTGAGGACCTGATGTTGTAGTTAAGAACTGATAGACATTTAGCACTGTTTACGATAGTGCTGGATTGTGATGCCAGTGTAAAGATGTCCTGCATGATGGTTGTCACAGTGTTATGATGTCTAGCATGAAAGTTGTCATAGCTTTTTGAGGTTTTGCATGAAGGTTGTCACAGTCTTATGAAGCCCTGCATGAAGGTTCTCACAGTGAAATGATGTCCTGCATGAAGGCTGTCACAGTGTTATGATGTTCTGAATGATGGTTGTTACAGTGTTATGATGTCCTGCATAAACGTTGTCACAGTGTTATGATATCCTGCATAAAGGTTGTAACAATGTTATCAGATCCTGCGTGAAGGGTGTCACAGTCTTATGATGTCCTGTATGAAGGTTGTCATTGTCTTATGATGTTCTGCATGATGGTTGTCACAGTCTTACGTCTTGCATGATGGTTGTCACAGTCTTACGTCTTGCATGAAGGTTGACACAATCATGCGATGTCCTACATGAAGGTTGTCACAGTGTTTTGATGTCCTGCATGATGGTTGTCACAGTGTTGTGATGTCCAGCATAAAGGTTGTCACAGTGTTATGATGTCCTGCATAAAGGTTGTCACAGTGTTATTATGTCCTGCATGAAGGCTGTCACAGTGTTATGATGTCCAGCATGAAGGTCGTCACAGTGCTATGATGTCTTGCATGAAGGTTGTCAGAGTGTTATGATGTCCTGCATGAAGGTTGTCGCAGTGTTATGATGTCCTGCATGATGGTTGTGACAGTTTTATGATGTCCTGCATGAAGGTCGTCACAGTGTTGTGATGTCCTGCATAAAGGTTGTCACAGTGTTATGATGTCCTGCATGAAGGTTGTCACAGTGTTATTATGTCCTGCATGAAGGCTGTCACAGTGTTATGATGTCCTGCATGAAGGTTGTCACAGTGTTGTGATGTCCAGCATGAAGGTCGTCACAGTGCTATGATGTCTTGCATGAAGGTTGTCACAGTGTTATGATGTCTTGCATGAAGGTTGTCACAGTGTTATGATGTCTTGCATGAAGGTCGTCACAGTGCTATGATGTCTTGCATGAAGGTCGTCACAGTGCTATGATGTCTTGCATGAAGGTTGTCACAGTGTTATGAGGTCCTGCATGATGGTTGTCACAGTGTTATGAGGTCCTGCATGATGGTTGTCACAGTGTTATGATGTCCTGCATGATGGTTGTCACAGTGTTATGAGGTCCTGCATGATGGTTGTCACAGTGTTATGATGTCTTGCATGAAGGTTGTCACAGTGTTATGATGTCTTGCATGAAGGTCGTCACAGTGCTATGATGCTTGCATGAAGGTCGTCACAGTGCTATGATGTCTTGCATGAAGGTCGTCACAGTGCTATGATGTCTTGCATGAAGGTCGTCACAGTGCTATGATGTCTTGCATGAAGGTTGTCACAGTGTTATGATGTCCTGCATGATGGTTGTCACAGTGTTATGAGGTCCTGCATGATGGTTGTCACAGTGTTATGATGTCCTGCATGATGGTTGTCACAGTGTTATGAGGTCCTGCATGATGGTTGTCACAGTGTTATGATGTCTTGCATGAAGGTTGTCACATGTTAGGGATGTCTTGCATGAAGGTCGTCACAGTGCTTGATGTCTTGCATGAAGGTCGTCACAGTGCTATGATGTCTTGCATGAAGGTTGTCACAGTGTTATGATGTCCTGCATGATGGTTGTCACAGTGTTATGATGTCCTGCATGATGGTTGTCACGTGTTATGATGTCCTGCATGATGGTTGTCACAGTGTTATGATGTCCTGCATGATGGTTGTCACAGTCTTATGATGTCCTGCATGATGGTTGTCACAGTGTTATGAGGTCCTGCATGATGGTTGTCACAGTGTTATGATGTCCTGCATGATGGTGTCACAGGTTATGATGACCTGCATGAAGTTTGTCACAGTCTTATGATGTCCAGCATGAAGGTTGTCACAGTGTTACGATGTCCTGCATGAAGGTTGTCACAGTGTTACGATGTCCTGCATGAAGGTTCTCACAGTGAAATGATGTCCTGCATGAAGGCTGTCACAGTGTTATGATGTCCTGCATGATGGTTGTCAAAGTGTTATGATGTCCTGCATGAAGGTTGTCACAGTGTTACGATGTCCTGCATGAAGGTTCTCACAGTGAAATGATGTCCTGCATGAAGGCTGTCACAGTGTTATGATGTCCTGCATGATGGTTGTCACAGTGTTATGATGTCCTGCATGAAGGATGTCACAGTCTTATGATGTCCTGCATAATGGTTGTCACAGTGTTATGATGTCCTGCATGAAGGTTGTCACAGTGTTATGATATCGTACATGAAGGTTGTTACAGTGTTATGAAGTCCTGCATGATGGTTGTCACAGTGTTTGATGTCCTGCATGAAGGATGTCACAGTCTTATGATGTCCTGCAAAAATGGTTGTCACAGTGTTATAAATGTCCTGCATGAAGGTTGTCACAGTGTTATGATATCGTACATGAAGGTTGTTACAGTGTTATGAAGTCCTGCATGAAGGTTGTCACAGTGTTATGATTTCCTGAATGAAGGTTGTCACAGTGTTATGATATCGTACATGAAGGTTGTCACAGTGTTATGATGTCCTGCATGAAGGTTGTCACAGTGTTATGATATCGTACATGAAGGTTGTTACAGTGTTATGATGTCCTGCATGAAGGTTGTCACAGTGTTATGATATCGTACATGAAGGTTGTTACAGTGTTATGAAGTCCTGCATGATGGTTGTCACAGTGTTATGATGTCCTGCATAATTGTTGCCACAGTGTTATGATGTCCTGCATGATTGTTGTCACAGTGTTATGATGTACTGCGTGATGGTTGTCACAGCTTCATGATGTCCTGCATGATGGTTGTCACAGTGTTATGATGTCCTGTATGATTGTTGTCACAGTGTTATGATGTCCTGCATGATGGTTGTCACAGTGTTATGATGTCCTGCATGATGGTTGTCACAGTGTTATGATGTCCTGCATGATGGTTGTCACAGTGTTATGATGTCCTGCATGATGGTTGTCACAGTGTTATGATGTCCTGCATGAAGGTTGTCACAGTGTTATGATGTCCTGCATGATGGTTGTCACAGTGTTATGATGTCCACGATGAAGGTTGTCGCAGTGTTATGATGTCCTGCATGATTGTTGCCACAGTGTTATGATGTCCTGCATGATTGTTATCACAGTGTTATGATGTCCTGCATGAAGGTGTTCACAGTGTTACGTTGTCCTGCATGAAAGTTCTCACAGTGAAATGATGTCATGCATGAAGGCTGTCACAGTGTTATGATGTTCTGCATGATGGTTGTCACAGTGTTATGATGTCCTGCATGAAGGTTGTCACAGTGTTATGATGTCCTGCATGATAGTTGTCACAGTGTTATGATGTCCAGCATAAAGGTCGTCACAGTTTTAAACGATGTCCTTCATGAAGTTTGTCACAGTGTTATGATGTCCTGCATGAAGGTTGTCACAGTGTTCTGATGTCCAGCATAAAGGTCGTCACAGTGTTACGATGTCCTTCATGAAGTTTGTCACAGTGTTATGATGTCCTTCATGAAGGTTGTCACAGTGTTATGATGTCCTGCATGATGGTTGTCACAGTGTTATGATGTCCTGCATGAAGGTTGTCACAGTGTTATGATGTCCTGCATGAAGGTTGTCACAGTGTTATGATGTCCTGCATGAAGGTTGTCACAGTGTTATGATGTCCTGCATGATGGTTGTCACAGTGTTATGATGTCCTTCATGAAGTTTGTCACAGTGTTATGATGTCCTGCATGATGGTTTGTCACAGGGGTTTATGATGTCCTGCATGAAGGTTGTCACAGTGTTATGATGTCCTGCATGAGGTTGTCACAGTGTTATGAGGGTCCTGCATGATGGTTGTCACAGTGTTATGATGTCCTGCATGATGGTGTCACAGTGTTATGATGACCTGCATGAAGGTTGTCACAGTGTTATGATGACCGACATGAAGGTTGTCACAGTGTTATGATGTCCTGCATGAAGGTTGTCACAGTGTTATGATGTCCTGCATGAAGGTTGTCACAGTGTTATGATGTCCTGCATGAAGTTTGTCACAGTGTTATGATGTCCAGCATGATGGTTGTCACAGTGTTATGATGTCCTGCATGATGGCTGTCACAGTGTTATTATGTCCTGCATGAATTTTTTCACAGTGTTATGATGTCCTGCATGAAGGTTGTCACAGTGTTGTGATGTCCTGCATGAAGGTTGTCACAGTGTTGTGATGTCCTGCATGAAGGTTGTCACAGTGTTGTGATGTCCTGCATGATTGTTGCCACAGTGTTATGATGTCTTACTTGATTGTTGTCACAGTGTTATGATGTCCTGCATGATGGTTGTCACAGTGTTATGACGTCCAGCACGAAGACTGTCACAGTGTTATGATGTCCTGCATAAAGACTGTCACAGTGTTATGATGTCCAGCATGAAGACTGTCACAGTGTTATGATGTCCAGCATGAAGGTTGTCACAGTGTTATGATGTCCAGCATGAAGGTTGTAAACAGTGTTATGATGTCCTGCATGAAGGGTTGTCACAGTGTTATGATGTCCAGCATGAAGGTTGTCACAGTGTTATGATGTCCTGCATGATGGTTTCACGGGTTGTTATGATGTCCAGCATAAAGGTTGTCACAGTGTTATGAGTCCTGCATAAAGGGGTTTCACAGTGTTATGATGTCCAGCATGAAGGTTGTCACAGTGTTATGATGTCCAGCATGAAGGTTGTCACAGTGTTATGATGTCCAGCATGAAGGTTGTCACAGTGTTATGATGTCCAGCATGAAGGTTGTCACAGTGTTATGATGTCCTGCATGAAGGTTGTCACAGTGTTATGATGTCCAGCATGAAGGTTGTCACAGTGTTATGATGTCCTGCATGAAGGTTGTCACAGTGTTATGATGTCCAGCATGAAGGTTGTCACAGTGTTATGATGTCCTGCATGATGGTTGTCACAGTGTTATGATGTCCAGCATGAAGGTTGTCACAGTGTTATGATGTCCTGCATGAAGGTTGTCACAGTGTTATGATGTCCTGCATGAAGGTTGTCACAGTGTTATGATGTCCAGCATGAAGGTTGTCACAGTGTTATGATGTCCTGCATGATGGTTGTCACAGTGTTATGATGTCCTGCATGATGGTTGTCACAGTGTTATAATGTCCTGCATGATGGTTGTCACAGTGTTATGATGTCCTGCATGATTGTTGTCACAGTGTTATGATGTCCAGCATGATGGTTGTCACAGTGTTATGATGTCCTGCATGATGGTTGTCACAGTGTTATGATGTCCTGCATGATTGTTGTCACAGTTTTATGATGTCCTGCATGATGGTTGTCACAGTGGTATGACGTCCAGCACGAAGACTGTCACAGTGTTATGATGTCCTGCATGATTGTTGCGACACTCATCCAATATGTTATTCAACACCTTTGAATAATTCAAATTAGATCAATGAACTAAACATACCTTGTTGAAGATGATAAAAAACAAACGTATCTTTGCTTCATTGGATTTGCGTAAAATCGGGAAAAAATATTTTTACTCCTAACTAATCATAAGATGCGTTACCTATGAGCAGGGAGAACAATAATCATTCTGTGAAAAAGACCTACAAGTAGGTGGAGGAGTCACATTTATGTAATAAACATCTATAATTTCTTCAGATGTATATAGAAGGGGGCAAGTACATATGATTAGTTAATAACTTAGATGACAATAACTTATAACTTAGATGACAATATTGTCTCAGGTCCCAGATGTTTAGTAAAAAATTTGAATATCTTGTAGTTCATACGGGAGAGGTCGAAGAGGCCTTTCTCCAGCGTGTTTACATCGAGTGTTCTGGTATTCTGGAACCCCAGACGAAGACATGTCGTCTCACTGAAGGGGTTGCCGCTTATTGCACAGGCCAATGTGAAGCCCTGCTTGATGCCAGCATCCAGACATAACTGAAAGAGGTCCATGAAACGAGCTGAACACGCAGTGACATGGGAAGCAATGACAAATATCGGACAAAATGGAAGAATTTCGATTTTCTTGTCGATACTGATATCCACGAATTATATTGTTTGGCTTTAACCATCTGTCTCTATTATCTACCATGTAATACCACAATAGATGGAGCAACACAAACCTCTAGAATCTTGGTAGAAACACCTTGACGGCCATAGTCAGGGTGGACACAAATGCGTGTAAGGTAGAGGATGCGGTCCTTCCTTGTGTCCAGGACTTCGTCCGTGATGTTTCGTATTATATATCGAGCTCGAAGAATTCCAACCTGAGACATAAAGAACTCACAATTACTACAAAAATAGAAAAGTAGTACCAGTGTAACTGGTCAGTTAAGAGTTTAGTTTAATATGTTTATTATGCACCCATACCCAACCTGTGGACGGTAGTCAAAAGATTACAGAGGTACATAATTGGTCCAGGGACTGGACTCCAAAGTTTTGATAGCTGAGCAAATTACAGAGGTAATGAACTCACAATTTACAAAGGTAATGAACTCACAATTTACGAAGATAATGAACTCACAATTTACAAAGGTAAAGAACTCCAGGTAGGTCTAGTCACAATCATGACAAGTTACAAAGGTATTTACAGATTACAGAGGTACGTAATGGGTACAGGGACTGGGCCCCAAAGTTTTGATAGCTGAACAAGGTACAAAGGTAATGAACTCACAAGTTACAAAGGTAATGAATCCTGTAAGAATGGTTACTTACGTTTATACATGGCTACAATCATGAACAAATTATAGAGTAATGAGCAATTCGCACTTCCACTCCCGGTCACAACTGTAATGAGTTATTGGTGCAAATATTGATTGTTGAGTCACACACACACACACACACACACACACACACACACACACACACACACACACACACACACACACACACACACACACACACAGGATGTTCCAGGAAGGGGACACAGAAACTAGAGGCCACAATTGGAAGTTGAAGACACAAATGAGTCAGAGAGATATTAGGAAGTATTTCTTCAGTCATAGAGTTGTAAGGCAGTGGAATAGCCTATAAAATGACGTAGTGGAGGCAGGAACCATACACAGTTTTAAGACGAGGTTTGATAAAGCTCATGGAGCGGGGAGAGAGAGGGCCCAGTAGCAACCGGTGAAGAGGCGGGGCCAGGAGCTAAGACTCGACCCTTGCAACCACAAATAGGTGAGTACAAATTGGTGAGTACACACACACACACACACACACACACCGCGTGGGTCCGTGGGTGCAGACGTGGGCACACAAGGCTCCGAGAATCCTAGTGTTTTTAAGGGTGAACTGACTGCTAACAGTAATCAGTGGTAGTGACATCGTCAGTGAGCAATAATACGAGTGATAACTAAAGTTATTAGTTAGAAAAAGTCGTGAGAAAGCCTGAAATTATCCTTTATCCAAAATTATCCAAACGTTTTGGTCTACTAGGCAGCGGTAGGCCTGAAGCAGTGACGTCACGATAAGTTGTGTGCCATTATACATATAAAGTGAAGTGTATATAATGTGAAGCGTATACTATCATAAGTGAAAAGTGAAATCGCGTGAGGAACGAGGGATGTATGAACACATGTGGTTATAATCATCACGGATGAAGGATCTCCAAAATAGGGATTTAGGCTACGTACGACGACTACGTCATCAGCATCTGGCAACTTGGCACGACCGTTGCCAGCGCAAGTATCACCTATATTGTGGTTTGCATGTCGCAGGTTTGGCTTGGCTTGGCCTTGCATCGCCGTTAGATACTGGTCACTCACTCCTGCAAGCTATTACAGTAGTTATTAGTAGTAAGAACACTTAGGAAGCTAGGAAGTCCTCTCTAAACGTGAACAAGGAATAGGATAATAACAGCAATAATTGATACTTAAATCCAGAAAGAACAATAAGCGAAGAGTGTAGCATTTCTAGGAAAGACAAAACAGAGAGGTATAACGTATCTACCCCCCCCTAACCATCCCTCCCTAACACACACACACAAGGGCAGACACTTATTGAAGCTTTAGACCCTTGTAGCAATTATCGCTTTTTATAACCCAGAATTACTGGTATGTATTAACAGTATCTCCCTGCATGCCTCCCCCATACACACACACACATACACACACACATACACACACACACATACACACACACACATACACACACCACGTGGTTCTGTGCTTTGAAAACATAGTAGAGCTGCAAGTGGAGAGAATAACAGGAGTTGAATGGGAAAAGCCTGACTATAAAAGAGGGGACTACATAGGATTGAAGAACTTCCTGCGGGAGGTCCAGTGAGACAGAGAACTGGCAGGAAAGCCAGTAAATGAAATGATGGAATATGTAACAACAAAATGCAAGGAGGCAGTGGAAAGGTTTATTCCCAAGGGCAACAGTAACAACGGAAAGACCAGAACGAGCCCCTGGTTTACCCGACGGTGTAAGGAGGCAAAAACAAAGTGCAATAGAGAATGGAAAAAGTACAGAAGGCAGAGAACACACGAAAATAGGGAGATCAGTCGCAGAGCCAGGAATAAGTATGCACAGGTAAGGAGGGAGGCCCAGCGACAGTATGAAAATGACATAGCATCGAGAATCAAGACTGACCCGAAACTGTTGTATAGCCACATCAGGAGGAAGACAACAGTCAAAGACCAGGTGATCAAATTAAGGACAGAAGGTGGAGAACTCACAAGAAATGATCAGGAGGTATGTGAGGAGCTGAACAGGAGATTTAAGGAAGTTTTTACAGTAGAGACAGGAAGGGCTGTGGGAAGACAGCACAGAAGGGAACATCAAGAGGGAATATACCAACAAGTGTTGGATGACATACGAAACAACTGAGGAGGAGGTGAAGAAGCTCTTAAGTGACCTTGACACCTCAAAGGCGATGGGACCGGACAACATCTCCCATGGGTCCTTAGAGAAGGAGCAGAGATGCTGTGCATGCCTCTAACCACAATCTTCAACACATCCCTTGAAACTGGGCAACTACCTGAGAAATGGAAGACAGCTAATGTAGTCCCATATATTAAGAAAGGAAACAGAAACGAGGCACTAAACTACAGACCTGTGTCTCTGACATGTATTGGTGTGCAAAGTCATGGAGAAGATTATCAGGAGGAGAGTGGTCGAACACCTGGAAAGGAACAAGATTATAAATGAAAACCATCATGGGGTCATGGAAGGCAAATCTTGTATCACAAACCTCCTGGAGTTTTATGACAAGGTAACAGAAGTAAGACACGAGAGAGAGGGGTGGATAGATTGCGTTTTCCTAGACTGCAGGAAGGCCTTTGACACAGTTCCCCACAAGAGATTAGTGCAGAAGCTGGAGGATCAGGCGCACGTAAAAGGGAGGGCACTGCAATGGATAAGAGAATACCTGATAGGGAGGCAGCAACGAGTCATGGTACGTGAAGAGGTATCACAGTGGGCGCCTGTTACGAGCGGGGTCCCACAGGGGTCAGTCTAAGGACCAGTGCTATTTTTGATATATGTGAACGACATGATGGAAGGAATAGACTGAAGTGTCCCTGTTCACAGATGACGTGAAGTTGATGAGAAGAATTAAATCGGACGAGGATGAGGCAGGACTGCAAAGAGACCTGGACAGGCTGGACATGTGGTCCAGCAACTGGCTTCTCGAATTCAATCCAGCCAAATGCAAAGTCATGAAGATTGGGGAGGTGCAAAGAAGACCGCAGACAGAGTATAGGCTAGGTGTACAAAGACTACAGACCTCACTCAGGAGAAAGACCTTGGGGTGACCATAACACCGAGCACATCACCGGAGGCACACATCAACCAAATAACCGCTGCAGCATACGGGCGCCTGGCAAACCTGAGAATAGCGTTCCGATACCTTAATAAGGAATCGTTCAAGACACTGTACACTGTGTATGTTAGGCCCATACTGGAGTATGCAGCACCAGTCTGGAACCCACACCTGGTCAAGCACGTCAAGAAGTTAGAGAAAGTACAAAGGTTTGCAACAAGGCTAGTCCCAGAGCTCAAGGGAATGTCGTACGAGGAAAGGTTAAGGGAAATCGGACTGACGACACTGGAGGACAGAAGGGTCAGGGGAGACATGATAACGACATACAAGATACTGCGGGGAATAGACAAGGTGGACAGAGATAGGATGTTCCAGAGAGGGGACACAGGGACAAGGGGTCACAACTGGAAGCTGAAGACTCAGACGAGTCACAGGGACGTTAGGAAGTATTTCTTCAGTCATAGAGTTGTCAGCAAGTGGAATAGCCTAGCAAGTGAAGTAGTGGAGGCAGGAACCATACATAGTTTTAAGAAGAGGTATGACAAAGCTCAGGAAGCATAGAGAGAGAGGATCCAGTAGGGACCAGTGAAGAGGCGGGGCCAGGAGCTGAGTATCGACCCCTGCAACCACAATTAGGTGAGTACAATTAGGTGAGTACATACACACACACACATACACACACACATACACACACACATACACACACACACACACACACACACACATACACACACACACACACACACACACACAACTCACACACATACACATACATACACACACACATACACACACACACACACACACACACACACACACACACACACACACACACACACACACACACACACACACACACACATATCCAGACTCACACATACACTCCCCCCCTCACCACCGACATCTCACTTCTTCCCCTGATCCCTCCCCTCCCTCGTTCACCCTCCCCTCCCCCGATCACCCTCCCCCTCCCCACATCTCCCCACCCCTCTCCCACATAGCCACAGTTCCTCCACTACCTCCCCCCCCACACTCTGACATACACACTACTAACCTAACATACAGAACTAATAGGTTTCCCACTCTGAGGCAATCAGGATAAAACAAAAATGGGTTGTCAGAGAGCAACAAGAAAAACCAAGGGACAAGAGGAGGAAGCTGCAAAGGAAGATTGGGCAGCAGAGCTCATAAAAAGAGATCATGAATGGGAAAAGAAACTAGAAGAACTTAGCATGAGAATGGAATAGAGGATAGATATGGAAAGCAGGAAGTGGGAGGTGCATGTCAAAGCAGCAGAGGCCAGGATACAGAGTTTAGAAGAGGAACTGAAAAGTCTGAAACAGCCTAAAGAACTAAAGAACATTTTGGGATTGACAACAGAGACTGCTATCTCAGCCACAAATAAGGGGACTGTAG